CAGTCAAATAATTTCGTCTCGTCCGTCTCGTCTCCATTTCTAAATGTAAACGTGGGGGTTTTCCATGAAACGTGATCGGCTGTTTTTAATTGCCGTGATTAGTGATTGTAAAAAGTTAAAAGCCGTGAACTGTGAACAATATTCCAGTTGTGATAATTGAATAAAAGAAACTATTTTCCGTTATCCGTGATTACTGAAAAGAAAACGCATTAATTTCCGTGAAAAAGTACTTGCCAAAAATGTAAAATCTCTTGACCAAGCCTGTTCGGTCAAGATGGCCGGGTTGGTCAGCGTTCAATTGTTTTGAGATCTGTCAATTTGATGCCAAAGAAAGCACATCGGTATGGTTTGTAGTCAGTACTTTTCGGCCTACATCTCAAGCGAAAAAAAAAAACCCTGATTGAAATCAGCGAGCGAGCCTGCAATAAGCCATGAATTTTCGTCAGAGGATTCTCTGGTGCAACAGTTGTCGCTTCACTGAACATCTCAATGTGGATGCACAAGCACAGCTAAATCATTGCATTGGAAGCCTATTACATTTAGGACCAAATGTTATTACATTTAGGACTTTATTACATTTAGGAGAAAATGTTATTACATTTAGGACTTTATTACATTTAGGAAAGTTACTACATTTAGGACCTCAACACCAACCCCTTCCCCCCTTCGAAAAAGAAAACAACCGATAGAAAAAAAAAGAAAGTTACATTTCATTTCCAGTTTGGATAAGCGTACTTATTTTAATCCTGTTCAATTCATACTAAAAAACCCTTTTGTTCCTTGCTCTTAGACAAGCGACGCGGAATACTGATATGATACCAACTGAAGCACCTTCATGGCCGGACAAGAGGAAGAAAATGTAAGTCATTCCCGGATCATCTGCTCTGTAGCTTCGGGAAGGCGAGTTCACAAGCACGACAGTGGTTGGGCGTGGCTGGTGGGTGTATGCGGTTGTCTTTGTAACGTGTTTACTCTGGGATGTTCGTATAGTTTTGGTGTCATGTATCCGTCACTTTTGGACGAGTTCAAGCGAGGCAAAGCCCAAACAGGTAATAGACTAAAGTTTAAGTTCTGTGCTTTTCTGAGTATTGCATGAAGGAACAGCGGTTGAGAAAGAACACATTAAAAACATATCCAAAGTTTTGGGGTAACTGGGAAGGAAGAAACATAGGCTTAGAGACGAAATCAAGAGATTCCAACCCCCCATCGATATGTAGTACTACAATAAAATGTTGTTGTGGTAACATGAATTATACCTAAACCACTAGGCTTCAAACCTGTAAAGAAACTGTGAACCGAGGAATATGTTTCTTGCACAATTAGGCCGCCTGCTTCCCTCCCCTCCGAGTAAAACTGTTTCTTTGAAATATCACGAATGCATGGGAGACGAACATGTGTTTTTCTTGTTTTCCTCGCTTTCGTTTACTGCTGACGTGCGCTTTGACTAAGAATGAATCAACAAATTCCCTCACTGATTTGAACACTTCTTTTTCTTCAGCATGGATTGGCTCTCTTTGCATGTCCTTGACCTTTTTCTTCGGCCCTCTGGCGGGAAAACTCTGCGATCATTACGGCCCCAGAGCTGTCATAATCATTGGTGCAATAATATCTGTGATCGGACTTGCTACAACCTCACAGGCACGAAATATATTCGTTTTATACTTGACATACAGCGTCATATTTGCTTTTGGAGGTTGTTGTATTTATACCAGCGTATTTGTCATCGTACCCAAGTACTTTTTAAAACATCGTTCATTAGCAACTGGAATGATTGCAGCGGGGCCTGGAGCCGGTACATTCATAATGAGTCCTATTTTGGCGCGTTCCATAGAGGGGCTTGGATGGCGTGGGGCATTTTTGGTCATGGCCGGTATCATCGCATCTGTTTGTCTCCTTGGTTGTGCGTTTGATCCCAATTCTCCGACGAATCCTGCAGAACGAGACGTATGTCATGCTTTTATGCAAGACAAGAAAAAAAGACACTTGTCACGTAATCCTTCATATTTGCTATTGGTTTTCGTTACAGCTATTGTGATATTAGGAAATTCAGTTCCTCAAGTCCACATGGTAAGTTTAAAGAATCAGAACCACAAGAACCTTGAGCAGGTTTCTTGTGGCTTTTCTTTGGTAAAACACCTAAGTGCCATAGTGCCCCCTGACCCAAGAGGATGAATAAGTATAGGAAATTAAAACCGTCGGGAAGCTTGACAAATAACTGGTTACCTGCGACACCTCAGCTGAGAGTAATTGCAACACTCTCAGTTTTTTCATGTATGGAAACCCGCGGTACTAATGAGCCTGTAGATTAAAAAGAATTAGCCTTTCACGCCGCCTTCCCAAATATCTGCTATTGGTCCTTTTTCATCATTTAGCATTTTCTCGTCGGATGATGGAAAATGCGATGGCTTCGGGTTGGTTTTCGCCAACAGCGGTGCTGGAACCGGAGTCGTTATTTGAAGTGCAGGGCGATGAGATACGGTGAAATGAAACCGACAGAATCGGAAGCAAAGGACAAATGCAGCTTGTGACTCCATCGCTTGGAATCATTGTCATCGGATGGCCTAAAAACTTCCATTGTGATCATTTCGTTTCGCTCCGACGAAGGGCTAACGCTCGAAACGTCAGCTTTTGTAATCGTTACGGTGGCCAATTTACCACCTCAACTTTGTTGATATATCCAAATTATTTCGTTACTCCCACCGACGCAGCCCCAAACAGTTTCTTTCGAAACTATCAGCCTTTTTTCATTGTGATCGGTAGGTTCTTTTGCTTCTGCTTGTGACTGCAACAATCTAGTTTTCCTTAGATCATACGGGTCGGACTGGAGTCATAAACCGACTCGGAATCGGAAGACAATTCTATTCTGTTAAGCCTATTACTGCACTTACTTCTCCAATTCTCAGATGCTCTCTTGCGACTCTGACTGCAACTCCGTTGCAAGCTAGATTCCTGATCAGGAAAGGTAAAAACACTGAGGATAAGCACTGGCAGTTTTTAAAGGCTAAACGCCCCTGAGACGTAATTTTCCATCACTCTGTGAATCATCCCATTAGCACAACTGTGAATGCAGTTATATTTATTTTTAGCTTTCTCCCTCATGTTGTTTATTTTTGTTACTTTCTAAGGCTCGCTACTGTGAAGAGAAAGGCATCAGTCTACAACTTGCTTCGACGCTATACCTTGTGCTTGGACTGTGCTCAGTTTTCGCCAGAGTCTTAGTCGGTCGCTTGTGTGATTGTAAATTCGTTGATCAGCGATGTGTCTACCAAGGATGCCTGTTTGTTCTTGGTTTTTCAACTCTGCTCTGTCCATTGGCAAATACCTTTCCTACGTTACTCGTTTATTTCATAATGTTTGGTTTGTTTGATGGTGGTCAATCAACTGTGGCAAATGTGTTGGTATTAACCTCTGTACAAGAAGGACAGAAGGCTCGTGCTTTTGGGTTGTGGCTGTTTTGTCTGTCAGTCATTATGGCTTGTGGACCGCCCCTTGCAGGTAGGTAAACAGTTTCCCTGCTTACTTGATGATTATAAGTAAAAGGCTGTAGACCCAGTCTTCAGCCGTTGTTGCTTGTTCGCTTACACCCTTGGCTGAACAATTAAGAGTTGAAAGACAGAACTTCCTGAGCTTTAGTAAAAAGTTCTATATTGGCTCATTGATGAATGCTATTTTCATTTGCAGGTTACATTGCGGACTCTACGGGTTCATACGCGCCCGCATTCTACTTGGCAGGCAGCAGCATCGTAACTGGTGCCAGTGCTTTCTTCGTGATGTACTTCCTAAGAAGTAACGCAGAAGAGATGGAATCGCAAACGAAACTTGTTGTCATAGAAAAAGTTACAGTTGTGTGAGATGTAAGATGTTTACAAACAAATTGGCTGCCGCACTAACAGAGTGTTAATAACTTGGTGAATGACAATGACTACCAACCCTCTATCTATTAATATTTACTTTATGGGGGTTGTGGTTTAGCATGTTCGTGATTTTTTCGCAAAGGATACCCACAAAGATCTACTGTATCCTTAATTTTACCTTTGGACCTCTGTCTCGGCCAGCTTGGTCATCTTTCCAGCGGTTGGACGGAGTATGAGAGGAATAACAGTGATGGCAAAGCAAGCCTAAAACGGGAGAGATCACCAGAGACCGTCACGGACACACGAGGAGTGTTTATGTTCACATTTCGGAATATTTAGCGTTGTAAATCGACCATATTTCGTTTCTTATACTATTCCTCATGATGTAGTATTAAAGGATTTGTAGCTAACGCTAAGCCACAAGTGACACGTGGGTAATTTCCCGAGCTTCCTAGCGCGCGTTCCCAAAAAACGCGTGTGTTTTACAAAACGTTATGCGAACGTCAGATTTAGAGCTGTCACAGTTTCCTTCCTAGTTTTGTTCTACAATGGAACATTTCCTTAGATTCCTTTAGATTTCGACCAGTCCATAACCCTCGTCGCTGGACAAAGGTAATTTGTAGCGCCAATAAGTTGAGCCGAAACTCCGAGCAAGAGGAGACGTTTATTGACCGAAGACAAGAGACATACATTAAAGGAAGGAAGAAGCAAAAAGGGCCGCGCTAAATATATGCGTCAACCGTGTGACAACGAGGTGAACTAAACAACAGCTTGCGTGCGAAGCGAAACAATAAGACTAAACGACAGCGTGCAAAATGCGTCACGCCATGCAAGTTAATGGCGGGGACTAAACAACAACGCGAACTATGGCGTGACTTCCTCTTTCTTCCGCTCGCCTAAGCAGTTACAAATAGCGAGAGGTGAATGCGCAAATTAAGTATTACAAAATAGCGTTCCTAGAGGCAGTTAGGTAACATAGTCCTTGAGGTAAGCCGGGGGACGAGTTGGACTACTAGACCGGCGTGGACCGGATGAGAAGGCAGACTCTGAGATAGGGGCATCAATGTCGTCAGACACGCTTCCACCTGTAGGAGAAGAAGACTCGGCCACAGGAGAACTATCGGTCTGAGAATCTGGTGGAGTAGCTCGCTCGCTATGAAATAAAGTGGGAGCAGGATTCGGAGTGCTCTGAGAGGTAGGAACGTGAGCGGGTACCTCGTCAACGTACCCAGAAGTAAGGGGTTCTTCGTCGATATCCTCAGGGTAGGAATCGGTGCCGTAACGGCAAGAAAGGTTAGGCGTGGTCTCTGTTAGGTCAGGAACGCGCAAGGAGTGCTGTTGTCGAACAACTTGGAGGTCAGAAAAGGGGATCTGTGCGTTAGTGAATTGGTCGCGTTGAAGCCACATCTCGCGGGCAGACAATCCTCTGTTACGGATACGGGTGTTGAGATTGGCTGTCGCCACAGCTGTGGAGAGAGGAGTGATTGTACCACCTTCAGGACAAATACGGAGAAGCTCATCCCCAAGTTCGGCGACGCACTTCTCTGCCACAGGATTCTTGTTTGGGTTTTTGACCTGCCCAAGTTCCACAGCAAAGCCGTACTGCTTAAGGATTTCATCACCGTACAGAGAAGCGAAGCCAGCAGCGGGATCTACCCTACTGACGGAAAGGGGGCCAGACAGAGGACGCAGCTCATGGCACAATCGGATGAGACCGGAGCGAATGGATTCACGACGTTCGTAATCAAGCAAGCAGGAAGCCGTGAAGGACATGCAGGTCTCGCGGACGACAAGAACGAACTGACGGTAGCGCTTTATGACGTCAGCAGCGAAGGAAATACCAAAGCCGTCGTGCGATCAAAAGTTGACTGTTCAACAAGAGTGGAGGGAACTTTTTTCAAAGAAGAGCATAGGCGGCTACGCTGCGAGCACCGATCCAGAGCTTTGTCCAGGTCTAAGGCGAAGAAGTAACGCTGCGAAATCAGTTTCATTTGGTGACGGGAAGGATGGTCCAGTTTCACGTGCAAGGCAGTAAGGAAGCCATCAACGACATAGCGCGGGATGACTATACATTCGCGGGACGCAGCGAAAGGTTCATCGCGTTTTACGACGAGCAGGCCGTCACGGGAAATGGAGACGAGGTTCAAGTAACGCTTGACGTCTTTGGTGTTTGTCAGCTTCTTTGACGGGCGAGTGCCCTGCTTGAGATGCGAGTGGACACGCCTCAAGTCCAGGCACGTCAAAACAAGCCGACTCGCGAACGGTTCTTTTTTTCTCATCGATCTCTTTGTCATATATTACTTCCTAGTTTTACGCTTCTTTCTGTAACCTGCTGAGAATATTAAAGGGAAGTTGTAATTCTGCCAGCAGTGTGATAATGAATTGTTGGGATCGAATTGGACCTATTTATCGTGCGAAAGGTCGCCGGTAACAGAGTTCCTCTATAACCCAACACCGCGTAATACAACGCGTGACGCTTTCATGCAAATACATACATGTCCGAGCATTAATCTTTCGTCTTTCTCGAGACGTGAAGCAAGGGCAACAAAGAGTGTTGGAAATCCCAGTACCACAAAACTAGTCACTCGCGTAGTTTTTTCACTATCTTTATTCTAGCCGTCACACCCTTCGTCTCGCGTCGATCTTAGCCTATACTTTCACAAAACCACAATATCCTAAAGACCACCCTTGGTGAGGTTACAAGGTTCACGTCACTTTTCTGACAAGAGAAACTTTAGCCCAGCACCTCGGGTTGTAAGATTGAATGTAAACGCGTAACTCAACCATCAATTATGTTTCAAAATTATGTTTCAAAAAGTGAAAGTGTGTGAAATGCAGACTTTCGTGTTCTCGATTTGACGTCACATTACCCGCTAGAGCCATTCCTCTTTAAACTCGGCCGTGGGGCAAGATGGCGGCCGATTTTCCGTATTTTGACTGGGCAGAGAAAATTAAAGATTTGAGCAAATTAAAAACTTTTTGCACAGAAATACTCCAAAAAATAAGCTTATTTCGTTAAGCGAAAAAAAATTTTTGGGTTTAGGTGCACTTTACGTATTTTATTTGGTCACTTCTTTAAGGAAGTACCTCAATTAAGTCCGGCGGCTGATCAGTGTTTCGGCGCGACCAAATATACTTGCTTGAAATGTGAAATTCCAATATGCAATAAATGTTCAATTTTTGAAGAAAACAAAGATTACCATGCTGGTAAAAGCGTCGCTTTTTTCGAGCGATACACTAAAGAGGCGGGAAAGGACGTTGCTGTCGCAGAAGACAACAACATCATGCCCAAAGAACCGACAGAGCGAAGAATCAGTGTCAGTTCGATAGGCGCAGAATAGGGCGCCCACTCAATATCTGTCAGCATCGTTTTGCTCGGCCCTTCAAGCCTCCATTTTTCTTCTGCAAGACTCCTTTCCACATGCTCACATGTAAAAGCGCCAAGAAAAAATACATTAAAATAATATATGCATTTGTTTCGGGTCATGTGAAGTACAGCGTCTGAATCAAAGCATAGTTAGTTGATCAAAGCCGGTCTACAGCCGTTCTTCCCGGCTGAGTCAGGCAGGATTAATTGACCGAGCCGATCTAAATTAAATCTGCCGTTCCGAATTGATTTAGACACCGTACTTCACATGAACTTAATTCGTTAAATTCGATTCGGCTCGGCTCGGCTGAAGTACGGCGTCTGAACCGGACCTTACTGCACAAGACGAAAGCCTTTCGAAGCCGAGAGAATCCGTTTGGTAAATCAGTCATGCGCAATATAATTTTTAAAACAAAGGCTTTTTTGGTACAGTTTAAAATTAAAAGTGGCTTTTCTGTGATGGAAAAGAACGATCGACCTCTCCATTATTGGCTGCGAGAGAACCTGAAATAAACTTCTGCTTACTCCGCTTACTTAACCGTCAGCGATCATCTGTCTTGATTTTAGGGTGAGAAGCGCTATGGAATTCGGTCTGTTTATTGGTTTTCTATGTAAGAGGATGGATTTCTAAAGTCACATGGCAATAATTTCTTTTATCGCCAGATGTTTTTACCTCCAGAAATGCCTAAAACTGTGACATTTTATTAAGTTTTGTACTAAATGTAAATTAGGGTCGATGTCTTGGCAAGTCTTTTGTTTTGTTGTTTTCTTGCCCAAACACCGAAAAACGCAAATGTAAGAAGAAAACCGATTTGGCTCTATGCCCAGACACGTTCCCAAGTGGACAAATTGCCTCAATGGTTATCCATTTGACGAGAACATCTGAGCTTACACAAAATTGCTATTTATATTAGTGACACCTTAAAATTTTGGATGAAACGGGGTAGTCTAAAATATTTGCTGAACGAAAACCACATGCTTACCTGATGAGAACACTCGATTATTGTTTGAAAGGTATTTTAATATCTTTTGATTTCTTGTTTTATTATTATTATTTTGGAAGTGGACGAAATTTCCTGGCTTATTTATGCCGGCCGTACAGTGATTCGAAGTTTTTGGAACCTGGAAAGTTTGAAAAACTCGTCCGCTTCAAAAATAAAATAGATTGAATTACCGGTTGTGGGGAAGTATTCGCCGAAATTCCCGTGCAAAACCCAGTTCAAACCCTACGTTGGCATCGTATTTGATGTAGAATCGCATCACCTGTCAATACCGGTACCTCTTGTATTTAAACGACCTTTGATACCTTGCTATCAGCCAATCGTTGAGGAATACTGATATGATACCAACTGCTGCACCTCTATGGCCGGCCGGGTATGAAGAAGAAACAAGAATTCATTGCCATGTCATCTGCTCTCCTGCTGCGGGAAGACTAGATCGCAAACACGACCGTGGCTGGGCGTGGCTGGTGGGTGTGTGTGGCTGTCTTTGTAACGCATTTACTCTGGGATGTTCGTATAGTTTTGGTGTCATATATCCGTCACTTCTGGACGAGTTCAAGCGAGGCAAAGCCCAAACAGGTAAAGGACTGAAGTTATTAAAAGTTCTATGTCCTTTTGAACCTGGAAATACCTAAAAATTTTGAAGGTAAAAAAATAATACCTACAGCTACACCTTTGGGTTTCTGTAAATTCATTGAGAACTATGTCTGTTTCTTGGAACCCGCAGCAGAAGAACCATCACGCGAGTAACCAGGTTATCCCCCCCCCCCGAAAAAAAAACTGAAAGTAATGTTATTTAATGTTATTTCTCTCTAATGGATTGGTAATCTTTATCGCCAGGAGTTGGGGGGGGGGGAGGAAAGGCTCGGGGTATTTTGGTTGTTTCACAATGAAATTTACCTGATTTCCTCCCTCCCCTCTCTGTAGACGACTGACTGTGTTTTTCTTTTTATTCAGCAAGGATTGGCTCTCTTTGCATGTGCTTGACCTTTTTCTTCGGTCCACTGGCGGGAAAACTCTGGGATCGTTACGGCTCCAGGTCCTTCCCAACCATTGGCGCTTTGGTATCTGTGATCGGACTTGTCGCGAATTCTCAAACTCGGAATATATTCGTTATATACTTGACATACAGTGTCATATTTCATTTTTGAGGATGTTGTATCTATACCAGTGTATTTGTCATCGTGCCAAAGAACTTTCTAAAATACCGTTCATTAGCAACTGGAATGATCGCAGCGGGACCTGGAGCTGGTACATTCATAATGAGCCCTATTTTGACACATTCCATAGAGGGGCTTGGATGGCGTGGGGCGTTTTTCATAATGGCTGGTATCATCGCATCTGTTTGTCTCCTTGGTTGTGCATTTGATCCCAATACACCCACGAATCCTGCAGAACTAGACATACATTGTGGATTTATGCAAGAAGACAAGAAAACAAACAAGTTGTCTCAGAATCCTTCTTATTTGCTTTTGATTTTCGTCACGACCATTGCAGTTTTAGGAAATTCAGTTCCTAAAGTCCACTTGGTAAGTTTAAAAACAAACGCCGCGCCCGCGAAAGGTTCAGGTTCTAACACTGAATAAGTTTCTTGTTTCTCTTCTTCGCCGTGTAGGCGTATTTTGAACTTTCCTCGAAAGATATTTCCCTGAAAGCGAAGCACGTTCGGACTTTTTAATGAAATTTTTGAAAATGGTTTACCATAAGGGTCACTTAGGGAAAATGAGATGAATTATGAAATTTTGCAACTGTCAGTAGATTCTCGATATTTATGGTCAGATGACCATTAAATAGCTTGGCAGCGCTTTCGAGACTCCGACAACGACTCCATCGCTGGTGAAACCTACTTAGTGCGTAGCAAGCTAGACCCTTGGTCGAGAGGTAGAGGCACCGAGTACTAGCAAGTAACGTAACATTTCATCACGATATGAATCATCCCAATAACACAACAGTGAATGTATTTATATTTCTTTTCAACTCTCTCCTTAATGTTGTTTATTTGTGTCACTCTATAAAAGGCTCGCTACTGTGAAGAGAAAGGTATCAGTCTACACCTTGCTTCGACGCTATACCTAGTGCTTGGACTGTGCTCAGTTATTTCCAGAATTTTAGTCGATCGGTCGCCTGTGTGACTATAAATTCGTTAATCGCTAATATGTCTTCCAAGGATGCCTGTTTGTTCTTGGTTTTTCAACACTGCTCTGTCCATTGGCAGACGCCTTTCCTACTTTACTCGGTTATTCCATAATATTTGGTTTGTTTGACGGTGGCTTATCGACTGTGGGTAATGTAGTGGTGTTAATCTCTGTGCATGAAGGACAAAGGGCTCAAGCTCTCGGATTGTGGCTGTTTTATATGTCAATCATGATTGCTTGTGCACCGCCTCTCGCAGGTAGGTAAACAAATCCCTTGCTTTTGCTTACGTGATGACTGTATGAAAAAGGCTGTGGTAATCTTGACAAGTTAATATGTATTCACCCACAGAGTTTAGACTCTAGCCTCTGTTTTCGTAAATGGATTTTTCACAATTAGTTCATTCAGTATTGCTTAATTCACATCCAGGTTACATCGCGGACTCCACTGGTTAATACGCGCCCGCATTCTACATGGCAGGCGGTAGTATCGTAACTGTTGCCAGCGTTTTCTTCGTGATATACTCTCTAAAAAGTAATAAGGCAGAAGAGTTGGAATCAGAAACCGAACTTATAATAGTCGAAAAGGTTACAGTTGTGTGACATTTGAGCGACATGTTAGCAAATAAATCATTATATATCTTAAACTGATTGTAAATTCCTTGCTGAATGGCGATGAATTTGACTATCCTTGAACTAACAGGGAAGTAACTCTACCGTAATAAAGGGGTACGCTGAAGAATGAGCCCGGCATCTCGGCTCACCCCCCCCCAACTTGGATTTCGCCACCAATTCGCCAATTGGAGGGAGGGTGGTGATGAGAAGTTTACAGAGTTTTATGGGAAGATCAGGGAAATCATATCGTGGCACAACCAAAGTCCTCCATTCCCATCTCCCCCTCTCTCAGCGTTAAATAATGACAGGTCCCTTAGTCCACTGATTTAAGATTACCGACACGATGGTCCATAAAACGTTTCGTAAACTTGAATTCAAACTTGTGACGGCTACAAAACTTAATAAAGTCGTTAATTTTTTTTTTAGGCTTCTTTAATGCAATTTTATTTTTCCATTTATTACGCCAGATATCGTTTTTCCATTTTACCTGACAATGTCTAAACAAATTTTATATTCAGCAGTTTGTGGTAACACACGGAATCAGGAGTGAACGTGTTAAAATCGATATATTTTTTTAGCCTCGCTGTTTCTTCTACACTTTCCCTCTGATGAAAATAATCTGCGATAATTCTTGGTTAATAGATTCAAATGTTCCTTAGCTTGTAAATTTATCGTCACTTTCTGTCATAGCTTGTCATAATTTCATAATGTAACATGGACAACTCTCAAAACAAACGAAAGCGAATAGAGCCAGATCGCAATTTTTGCCTGTGTTCATATTGGAAGCCGTGTGATAAATCTCTCTTCTGACATCAAAATTGAAAGTGTTTTGTAATTTCTTTGATAAAATATCCCCGGCAAAGCATCAAGGAAAAAAAAAAACTCAAGGGCAGAAAGCACCTGCTCCCCGGCGGAACTGAATTTTACTATAGGAGCCGAGCACAACAATCCTCATTGAAAAGCTATCCTATTATTTCGATTTCGACGCACAAGGCGGTAAATTTAGTGTATGACGATGATTAATCAACCAGAATTGCAGTCATTGTGGGACTACTGTACTACTATAGCAGTTTTGTTAATAATTACAAAGCTTGTTGTTGCATATCATCAAACAATAACATTTGCCACTAGCATCAGCTTAAAAGCTAAGAGCTATGGTTCAGGTAATCATATTTTCCGTCGTTTTTTTTTAAGCGCCTCTCCAGATGACTGTACTGCAATTAAGATCAAGTCCGTTTATTGATCAAGGCCTTTAGATTTCTCGCACAATTTGGATTCAAAATCGCAATTTTTTGCAGCAAAGCTGTTCCTTTGTTAAATGGTTTACAATACATCGGAAACGTGTTTTTCTTAAGAAGCAGATAGGAAACTGAAAAAGAAAACATTTATTCTTAGCGGAATTTTTGAAAAGGGGTTTTAATGACTTTTTCCACAAGCACCTGCCAATTATATAATTGGGAAAGGGGCTGTTGGGTGAAACTCAAACAAGGAAGCCTATTTACAGGCTAAAAGGACAGTGGCAGAAAATCTTACGGGCGACACCAGGCAACCTCTCTTTTAAACCCCAATAGTATCTTTAAATTGCTTCTATAAATGATTAAAACTGACTTTATTTGTGACACCTCAAAGTCATAGACCCCGAGGCGTCTGAAAATTGAAAAATATATTCCATTAATATCACTCGGTGTTATTTGTCCTTCACTGTCAAAATTTAAGGTTCCCATTAAATGATCATTTATTACGCACTTACAAAAATGTCTTGTCAAACATTGTCATCAGAAATGGAATCCTTTTCTTTATGCTTGGTCGACGAGTGTGGAAAAGGCGCTCAAACACATCCAAAGCCCGGAAAATATTTTGAATAGGACTCTGTTAGATTTTCAAGCGTTATTCTTCAAAAGTGATCGATCGAATTAGACGGCGTAGTTTTAAGGTATATTTGAAATTAGTGAGTTGCTCAGCGTTGTTATAACGAGAGTGCATGAGACGAAGAGTTAGGATTACTAACTTCCTACCCGCGTCAACAAGCGACTAAGACGAGACGTAGGCAGAAAAAATATTTTTGAAATGTTGGGTCATGAATTATTAATTGTTTGCGAATGATAATGGGCTTGTGACTCAGCAGAAGGTAGAAATAATATTTTATATCGCTATATTTCCACTCTCCGCAATCAGACCGCGCGATTCACCTTCGCAGTAACTTCACAGGAAATTTTTCATCGTGCAGCGAAAATTTCAAAATGAATGACACGCTGGCAGTGAACAGTGGCAAAGAGAATTCCCGCGGTACATTAAGGACTGATCTTCCTTCCAAGACAGAAGGCATTGTATGGTGCTGTCTTTTTGCAGTTCTATCTGTCTTCATCGTCGTAGAAAGCTTGCTCACCGTTTTCCTCTTTACATTCAACAAGAAGCTCCGCAAGAAAAGCCTGTTTCTTGTCCTCAATATGGCGATTGCTGATCTGATCTTTGGAGCTCTAGCTCTTCCTCTATATATTTACCTCGGCTTTGGAAGGCCAGAGTATTACCGAATCTGGACTCAAAATGTAAACACGTCTTTGAACTTGTTTTTAGACGTTACCTCGAAAGTCACATTGGTGGCTTCGTTAATTTCCGTGGCCTTCATTTCTTGTGAGAGGTTCTACGCCATATCGCAGCCTTTTAATCACCGAACACTAACAGTGCGAAATTACTGCACTGTAATCTTGACAGTTTGGATTTTGGCCTTGCCTTTCTCTAGCTTGGTGTTCTTGATTCCCGGGCAAGAATGCACATACGTAGGAATGCCATTCGCGGTTATCCTGCTGTTCACCATTTGCGGTTGTAACATCGCAGTTTGGAGGAAGCTTAAACAAAGAAGCGTCGACTCGCATCCGCAGAGTAGAATCTCGCGGAATGAACGCGTGACGAGAACTTTGCTATTTGTTTCTACCCTTGCCTTGTTTTGCTGGCTTCCTTTTGTTATTTCAAACGGTTTAAGAGGGCTAGACGTTGAGATACCATGGAGACATGCAATGATTGTCAATTTTCTCAACTTTTCCAATTCGTTCGTAAATCCCATCGTTTATGCACTGAGAATTCCGGAGTTTCGACGCGCGTTAGCAGTGTGTTGTTCCACAAGGGATAGGAAGTTGAACAAGGAAAATATTGAAACTAGAAATAACAAAACAGACCCTTTAATACCGCCGACACAGCCGAAATCATCAAAACCTGATTCCAGTCACCCACAGCCTAAGTTTGATGATGTAAATACAGACAGCAAAATGATGTTAACCGAGGAACAAGAACTTTTTTCGCTTCTTAAGTAATACTTGCTTCAAAGAAATTTGTGCTAGTTCAGATTACTTTTAACTTCAGCTAATTCTGTAAATAAATGGAAGACACTGTGCATTTCAATATACCACGTACCAGAGAAATGGTTGATAAAATTGTCTGTGAATTCTAGTGTTATACTACTCAGTAAAGTATCAAGGTGGAAATAATCCGCTTCGTAGGAGTCCTTCATTCTCGGCGAAGTCCGTCGTGCTAGTTAGAAAAAAAAAAGTCTAAGAAAAATATTGCTGTTAGCGCGCCGCAGGGAACCGCTTGGAGTGACGCCGATGTGGCGCGGGAGCTCCATGAATGAGGCGCTACTTCTCGAGCGCGACGGACTTAGTCTAGGCGTCAGTAATTTTGCTACAGTTGGCGCGCCATACTATCGAACAGGAGAATGTTTTGTTTTTCTTGCAAAAATTATCGCACGAAAGAAGGGTCGAGAAAAGGAACAATTATCACACAGACCGCTCTTAGGTGGGACAATTCTCTGCCATTTCACTGTTGGACGCAGTACACCATTTCCGAATTACACTTGGCCTCTCTTTCAAAACGAGGCTTGATGCTCGACCATTCGTATGAAAATGAGTTAAATTTGCAAGTAAAAAAATTTTTAATCAGTACTTCTCCTGTGCACTTGAGTTTGTTAGTTTTTTTTTTCTTTTTGCTATACCGTAAAAGATTGGATCTCTCCTCTTGTAAGTATGTCAGTTAGGGATAATTTTTGAATATCATCACTCCATTAAGTTGTTCACCGATGACTTATAGCATTGGTTTCTTCCGCTATCCTTTAGGGTAATCTTATCAATCTAAGAGAGCACCACCATTGTGCGATAAGTAATCACTCGAGTTTTTGGCCTCTCTATTAACTATGGCAGGGATGAGTTCAGTAAAAAACTTAAAGTTTCATAAAGTTATTTCTTAAATTATCAAGTTAATATCATACGCTTAAATTTTTTCTGTAGCTGAATTTCACGTGTGAGAAATTTACTTTTCCATCGGAATCAACTGTTCTAACAGAGAAAGTCCCGTTATATGGTTTTGGTTGGAATTTTTACATCTTGAAACTAAACCTAGTTATTTAATATGCAGAATCGAAGAAGCCAGTACCAGCTCTGGTATTGACTTACCGTAGTTCTGTAACATACATCTAAACCGGCTTTTGTCAGTTCGCTTTACAAACCGAAAGTCCTTTGATTAACGCAAAAACCGTTTTATTGATTTCCCTCTATCTGTTAGTTGGAATAGGAAACTTTTCCCGATAAAAAAAGATGTCACTTTTTTTTTCCACGAGTCATAAGTTAGCTCTGTTCAAATGTTGACTTTGTTTTAGGTTCCTTTTAACCAGATGTGAATATCTATAGTCTTATTAAACGTTTTGTTGTGTAGTATCGCTGAGTATCTTGAAGAGCCCGTAGAGCGAGTCAAAATACAAACAACGAGTAAAATACTTGTTTAATAAGAAATTTACTATCCAACACGCCAAATTTTTATTTCAGTGTGGGAGAATTTCTAACCGGTTCTTTCTGGAGTACAAATACCGCGAGATACTGGTACTCATTTTGGGTGTTATTTGTATTCTACGAACCGTTGTTGGACATTAATATCGTTTAATTAATGTTAACCGTATACAAAGAGGTCATTAATCAAGATAATAAGCGTTGGTGGACAAAAAGAGTTTTCATATCACAAACAGGCAAGCATTTCCTTTCGGCGTTCAACGTATTTTAAAAGGATCTAGGATAAACCCCGATGTAATGTAATTTTTATCGCCGGGGGGGGGACTCCAGTAAATTTTAGCCCTTAAAGGCAACAACGATAACTTCGTTAACATTCCCTTTTACATTCATGATAATGTTGCAGAACCTTATGAGGAATTCGGTGAATTTTATTATCACACAACAAAAATATAATTCCCTTACTGATCTCTTAAGCGAGGGCAGGTGCCATTGATGATCATTACTTAAATCGTATGATGCACGATCCTCGCAGTAGAGAGCGCCATTTATGCAATAGCGAAAATCAGACCTGAAAAAAATCAGGCCTGTACGGGATTCGAACCACTGACCTCTGCGATACTAGTGCAGCGCTCTACCAATTGAGCTAACAAGCCAACTGGGAGCAGGCCGTTAAGTTGATTCAGGCCTGATTTTTTTCAGGTCTGATTTTCGCTATTGCATAAATAGCGCTCTCTACTGCGAGGGTCGTGCATCATACGTATAAAAGTTATCATTAGAAACGGTCACACTTCTGATTAAAGCAAGTCTTGAATTGATCGTAGAACAATCGTAGACAGTTGAAAGAAAAGAACTGCAGAATTGTATTTAACTAAATAATAACGAGTTAGCTTGTATTTGAACTGAGTGGTAGCGTCGAGAGAGTACTGGCCGAGTGGGAGGTGGAAGGGAGTAAACTGGGAGGAGAACTTAGAGGTGTGCAACGAACTTCCTGCACCTGAAAACTATTATGGGATTGAACTAGCATCAACAGTCGCGAAAAGACTTCTTAAGGTTGGCTGATCCTCAGGGACATGGCAGCACTGAAAACTTTCCTCTTATCGTGACAACTTCCCGCCCCCTCCCCACCGACCAACCAGGAGGATTTATTCCTTCAAAGCAACTTCATTAGCATTCCATTTTACATTTAGGATATAGCCTACGTAGAGGGTCTGGATGGGGTTAACTGACAAATGGCTAAAATAATAACTGACAACTGACAAATCACTGTGGTGGGCTTTTACTGACAGCTGACAAAAGACTGGATCGCCCTAAATATTCTAAAAACTATATATAAAATAAGGATAGTTGATTTATTTTGTCAAATAAAAGTACGTTTTTCATTACATATCAGTGGGAGTACGCCAGAGTGTAATATTTTGCTAATAATTACCGCATGGACCGATTAACATTAAGGTCATATGTCACATATCGGTTATGTGATCTTTGATACTCAACTCGATCGTCAAATCTGCGATGGCCGTCAATGCTGATATTTTAAAGGCTGTTGTGAGCTTTTATCAAATTAATTCGGAAACGGCATTTTAGCGTCTGGAAATGTGACACATGTCAAATTTGTAGAGGACCGTATTGTTGAAGTGGCAGTTGCTGAGGTGCGAAGATATGCAGACGAATATGACACGGACTCAAAAAACAGAGGTCTGTGTGCATAAGAGTTGTAGCTTACTTAAACACCCTTCAAACAAAGACTGAGAGTCACTTGGAAGATCTTGGAATTATTTCACTCCAGAATTGAGCAAAAGAAGTTATTTTTTTATCACTTTTTGACTTTCATTCTTGAGTTCACGCTGTATATGTGCCTTTTTAGTCAATAATAGGGTCGGAAAGTAATAATTAACTTGCCAAGTTAATTATTAAAAAAGTCATTTAACAGACAAATGGCCTAAAATCTAACTGAGAACTGATAAATGGCCAAAATTTTAACTGACAACTGACATTCGTACCCCCTCCCCATCTAGACCCTCTATGTATTTTCACAAAATTAAGGAAAATAAACCAAAACACCCAAAACAAAACACAAATTCAATAACAAATTCCTTTTACAAAGAAATCTAATTTCTTCTTCGTTATCTGATCCTTGATTTGCGATTTCCTCATGTGAAAGCCTCATTTGAAAGATATCATATGCAGAGTAACAAATTCTTACAAACGAAGCCATCTGCGTTAAGTAGAAACTGAAAAATAAAAAAGGCTATCGTTCGCATACATATTTTTCACGGTCTGAAAATATACTTTGCGTACGATGAATCAGATTAAAATGCGATTCATTTGCCCCGGCCTGTTCAGCATCTTCCGCTGACCTTGTCAGTTTGTTCAGGTAATCGCTTCTCCAAAGAGTTGCCAGGGGCAACGAGTTTGACTAATGGTCGTGGGTCGTGGGTCGTGGGTACAAGTCGTGGGTCGTGGGTGTGGGTGTGGGTGTGGGTGTGGGTAAAAGTCGTGGGTGTGGTTAATACTTAATAATAAAAGTAACCATTTAAAATGTTAAATATAATAATACATAAATTTTATACAACCCTGTCATTCATTAATTTAACTGTTCTTTCTTCTAGTTATTTTATTTTGTTTATTCAATTTACCCTACTTTACGTCTATTTTTATCTGTTATCTCACTGTCAATGAAATTAGTTTCAGTTTCGCGACGCATTCCGAGATCTCGTTTGATAACAAAGGGAAGAGAGATAAATCTTGTAATTACACACTGTGTACACGTTTTTCGAGCTGTGCGGTCTGCGGTCTGCGGTCTGCGTTCTGCGTTTTCGAGGTCTGTGTTAACGAGACACCCGAGTTGCTTTGTACGATTGTACCAAAAATGATTTCNTTCTGTTCCTTGGCCCCTGACTTTAGCCGCAAATATAGAATTCACGAGCGCTGTCGCAATTTTAACGTTATAGTACTTCTACTATATGAAATCATTTTTGGTACAATCGTACAAAGCAACTCAGGTGTCTCGTTAACACAGACCTCGAAAACGCAGAACGCAGACCGCAGACCGCACAGCTCGAAAAACGTGTATACAGTGTGTAATTACAAGATTTATCTCTCTTCCCTTTGTTATCAAACGAGATCTCGGAATGCGTCGCGAAACTGAAACTAATTTCATTGACAGTGAGATAACAGATAAAAATAGACGTAAAGTAGGGTAAATTGAATAAACAAAATAAAATAACTAGAAGAAAGAACAGTTAAATTAATGAATGACAGGGTTGTATAAAATTTATGTATTATTATATTTAACATTTTAAATGGTTACTTTTATTATTAAGTATTAACCACACCCACGACTTTTACCCACACCCACACCCACACCCACACCCACGACCCACGACTTGTACCCACGACCCACGACCCACGACCCACGACCATTAGTCAAGCCAGGACTATGCTTGCTCAATAAATTAGTACTTTTGCAGCATGCTGTCAGATTATTCGATCCCGTCACCCCTACCTCCCCCCCACCCCCCAGCCGTTTACTCAATTTCCTTTCCATCGTATCTTTGCAACCAAGCCTTAGGGTGTGGATTCATTCGAAATGGAGGTTCATTCGCAAAAGTGAGATACACTGGGAAGTTGTGAGCAGAAGTCAGGCTTACAGGTAGTCCATAAAATTTGTACAATGCTACTTTTGACACGGATCATCGGTGTAGTCTTCTTAACAAAAGCTCGATTACGCCGTTTAATTTCGCCTTGTGAACTGCCGTAAATATCAGAAGTATACAGACGTGTTTCTATGCAGACCCAACGGCAACATCAGTGGCATCTTATTTGTTCTATATGGTAAAGAAGCTAACAACTGTCGATACTAACGTCATATATGCACCTTTCCTTCTTTCACAACTAAAAACTAGTCAAAATATGTGCGTAATTCAGCATATTGTACAATTACCCTTACATCATAGATTCACCGTTCCACTGACATGTCTCAGCTGAACGTGGAACACTGGGACCCCAAAAGAGACGGTCCATTGAGTGAGAGAAGTATGAGAGATAAGCTTAGGTCACAGGGTTATTCATTTCAAAGATATGTTTTTGCTCCTGGTACTGACTTCCCTGATCAAACTCATTCCATGTCCAAAAAGGACTCTATTGTCTCCGGCCAATTCAGGTTTGCCATGTGTGGCCAAGAAGTAATTCTACAGCCTGGAGACATGATTGTCGTACCAGCTGGTACTGTCCACAATGCTTCTGTGGTTGGAGATGAGTCAGTGGTTTTCTTTGATGCCTCTAAGCCAAGATGACATGCTATGTTATGATATACACTGTGGTGTATGCACTCATGCAGAAGCCATGGTATTCAAAGAGCATTTCAAAGATATTGAAATAAGTCAATGACTGCATTGCAATGAGGAGGTATTTCTCAGAAATAATATAACCTATCACAGCACATGTAAGTTTCCCTGTACCTTTTGACTTCATCTTTGATTAAACTGGCCATGCTCTACTGAACATTTCAGTTTATTACACATACATACAAAAAGGCTGTCTTATAAACAGATACAAAGACTAGTAAAATGAAATACTGGAAGGGAGGGAGGGGAAAGAAAAATACCTTATATTTTTACTTTATTTTTTTTTTATCTAGAGATTTACCATGAGGTAGGTGCAGAAACAATAGGACTCTAAGCCCTGTGCTAGGTTTTTACACCCTGGAAACCCAACCCCACCCATCCCACCCCNGTAGCTCCATTTTCTGCCTTTAAAAGCACACACAACCCACAATTCCTCTATTCGCTCCGACGAAGGGCTAACGCTCGAAACGTCAGCTTTTGTAATCATTACGGTGGCCAATTTACCATTTCAACTTTGTTGATATATCCAAAAGATTTATTTAGGTTATATCAATCTTGCTCATTAGGGTTTAAGGCAAAAGAGCATATGTTGCTATTTTATAATAACATGAATTGAAGGGAAATACCAGGAATTGACTTTATCTTTCAAAATCAGTTTGGTTCAGAACATGGCTAGATCTGCTAGAAATCCTGTGACTACCTTTTACAAATTATAACAAAATTTGAGATGATTGTTCAAATATTGCCACATTCAGGACTTTAAAATGGACTTGAAACAACTATTTTGCACTGAAGAGGCCTTATATGAACATATGTTTTCAGAAATTACATCAATCCCTTGTAAACAAAATCCCCAACCCAAAACTATTATTTTGGGCAGAAACCCACCCCCCACCCCCATCCAATAAACTCGTAACCAGTCTTCCATGCTCCCACATTTACCTTGAGTCTTGAGTGAGGTATCCTGCGCACATGGCGTGTGTGGAAGGTCTCTAAAGCTGTTCCATCTGGCGTTGTTCGGGCTAACCTTGGTCCATAATAGGCGGCACGTTATAGAGGATTGTTGTAAGGTATGCTAATCATATATCTCATACTTTTAAAACAGGACTAATTTTTAAGAAAAGAGATCGTTTAGGACACGTTCGAATTCCTTAAAATCGGTAAAGGACGTGAAGGAGATCTAGAATGACCTCTGGAATAAACTGAGGGTGATATTCCACTTGTAGCCTCTTTTTTCTGTTTTATATCTAGCTTTAATTGATCCCAGCGAATGCCCCTAGTGTTCATTTCTTCAATTTCTCTATAGGTTCCTTTTTCTTTGGTTTTGCTTGCAGCGAGTTTCTTTGTGTACGTGTGGGGGGGTGCATAAATGCTATCCGCCTGAAATCGTTTAATTTAATCGTATTGGGGAAACCTCGGAGAATTGCTTTTAATTTTTACAGTAGTTTATTTATTAAGGCCTCACAAGAAGCTGACCCCTTGGTTTGCAGATATACATCTAATAATACTTTGGATATCTATTGAAACGCGTATGAGCACGTGCTCAATGAGATTGCAAAATACCAAACTCATTACCTGTCTCATAGAGAGCAAACAGGCTCAAGTGGAATTATAGATGTACCGATGAAACCTATAGAAATGTCTCAAATATACGACAACCACAGCAAAAACAAGCTTTGTGTATTCTTTAAAAAGGCCATAAGACTGTGGCCTATGTTACTTGAGCTTTGATACCTGGTCTGTGAGTCAAACAAAACTCAGGAATTGAAATTAACTGTGGCTGGGTTTTTGTGGGGGAAATTTTACTTCTGTAAGGCCCTGGCCACACTAATATGTTTCCATGTTGGCAAAAAAGAAGCAAAAGATTTCTGTCCCCACCAGGGTTTTTACTTGACTGTCCACTCTAAAATAGCCAAAAACACTAAAATGATTGGGACCTGGAACCAGACCTATCTTTCTTCATCCTAAGTTTGGCTTGCGCACTGTACAAGGCCATGTTTAGCTGTAGACATTGAACAACACTCGGACATCTCAAGATGCTCTGTCTAGGACTGGAATGGGTCGCCTGTAAATTTTTTTGTCACTGTTTTTAAAAGCCTCGGTTTTCACGTGTTGTTTTCAAACATCTTTGCTTTTGAAATTGTGTTTGAAAGCCTGTTTTTTTTTTTTTTTATGTTTTCGGGTGTTTTAGTGTGGATAACCAGCAAAAATGTGTGAAAAAAAAAAAAAAGTATTTTCAAATGAAAATGAAGCAGTGTGGCGAGAGCTTAATTCTCTTTTACTCTTTGAACTCATCATCCTCGGAGACCCAGGGGCTGTGGGTCGATTTCAAGTTAGGGCATGAAGAGCCCCTGGGGACATTGTCTTACAAGACTAGTTCCAAACGGTCGCAGTCGTTCTGCCATCTGATTGGTGCCAGAAAATCTTTGTGTTTTTCTGCCCAATCAGAGTGAAGTGTGCTTTAGAGTCCTTTCGTGTGTTTTAACACGGACATATACTAGTAGCTCAGTTGCTCGCTATGTTTGTTTGGACCTTGTGACGGAGATTTGCTCGAGGTGAAAAGTTTCAGTCTCAGCACACAATGTAAGAGAAATCGATCATGTCCGCGAAAATCTTACCGGAAATTATTCTGAATACTTTCGCAGGTATCAGTAGAGAACGTGTTTTAAAGTTTGCGAGGTTTGTATACAACACGATGATTGCAGTCATTGATATGTCGCTTTAAACGTTCAACGAGATTTAAGCTTAAATCTTTCTAGATTTTTTGCATAATTTGCTGTGACTGAAACTTTGCCAATCCCGGGAAGTTATTTCGCCGCACGGGCCACGCAGGTATGTCGAGCAACTGGTCCTTGCGCAATTTTCTGTGCGTGCCAAACTCTAATCTCATCTTGGCTTGAAAAACAAGAAAAGCTAAGCGTGGAAACTTTTGCTTATTACATGTGGGTAGACGACCCTGTACTACTAAGCTGACATTTGCAATAAAGCAAACCCGCCCTTTCCATCCAATATTTCTTGGTCTTTGGTTTTGTTTTTCCCATTGAAAACAGCATCGGATCGATTCCCAATGATCAAAGGTATTTAACTTGGTCTTCAACAATCGACAGAAGAGGTGAAATGACAATGACCAAGGGACTAGAAGAGAATCCGTGGCCTTCCTAGCTCAAGAATTTCAACACTCTAG